CCCCCCCCCCCCCGGGAGAGACAAGTGAGGAGATTCCTCAGAGACGGGTACACCGTGTTAGTTCATGCGATGGTTGCCGTCCGAGTCACTGGGAGGGATGTCAGGGGTTAAATCATCAGTCAGTTGTACAGGAAGAGTTTGTAAAAGCAGTAGTAGTAACTAGATTGACTTCCAGCAGATGTTCTGCTTTCTAAGGATATTGTTCCCCTCATTGAAGTGTAAATGTGCATACCTAAGAAAGTGGCTTTCTCTCTTTATGGTAAATATGAATAGGAAGCATGTTGACTGGTTTTTAGGAACATTTTCAGATGGATTAAGAGTTTGTATATACACTCATCAGTAAAGCATGTCTATCTATTTATTTTTTTTGTAAGGAACGCTATACTGAAGAATGTCTGGAAGTTTCTACTTTGTGATAGTTGGTCATCATGATAATCCCATATTTGAAATGGAATTTCTGCCTCCTGGAAAAGTAGAGTCCAAGGTGTGTTTTTTCCCCCTGTGATACTCCTATGATGTAATTATAGTGCATTTTCTTTTATAATTTTACAGTGTATTAGAAGCATGACCAGCATGTTGTTAAAAGTGTTACTAGTAGCTACTGCATTCTGTTTTTTTACAGAAACTTTGCCATAGGGAGTAGAACTCTGAAGTTCTTGAGTCTCTTAAAATTCTTTGCTAGATCATACTAGTTCTTTGTAAAACATGGTTTCCTTAAATATTTGATGCTGTATGGTGAAGAATACGCATGCTAGTCATACTTTGGTCATTGCTCTTACTGCGTAGAGCTTTTGTAATAGCTGTTCATTATTTAATGCCACTTACTGTCATTCTCTATTTTAAGGCATCTATATACAGTAAACGGTAAAGTAAGGAACATAAGTCCTTTATTTTTTATGCTATAAAGAAATCTTAATTTTTAATCATCTTCAATAGTCCTGCTTTTGAGTAGGAAAGGTTTAAAACCCGTATTGATGAAATACGGTTTTGAAAATGTGAGAAATGTAAGACTACTCAATAAGTAGTGTTCCCAGTGGGAACAGAACAAATTATGCATTGTGATATTCCATCAAAGAGAAAATAGACTTCAGAATAGAAGTGCATTTATCTGTGAGTGTGTCCAAAAATGGAACTATATGCTGTCACCGATTTGAACAGTGTGGCATTTTCTGTATTTTGAACTAGTGTCCCCTAAAAGACCATAAGTAAGGCTAGTCAGACTAGACAGTGAGTGTGAGGATGTGTCAGATAGTGGAAAAATTCGTTTTCTGCATTCCGCTAATGGAAATAACTTGGTTCAGGTAAGCTTCTTGTCTGACTGAGATTAAAGTACTACATTTTCTCATAAGAGAGAATCTAAACTTGATGTGCACTGAAGGACAACTAGTAGACATCGGTATGTTTTGGCATTTATCACTTCTGTTTTGGAGACATGCTGTTTAAGAGTGAATTCAGTGCAGATGCACAGCTGCCTGAAGTGAGCGGTTTGCATAATGTATGTGGTAAATGAGCACAAGCTTTTGCCCCTTAAACTTCACTACTTAGTCTCATCCTCAGTATGGTTTAATGGAACTTGCAAAGCTGTTAATGCGCTGAGCCAAACTTCATTTGGGGGAAAAACAGTGCACTGAGAGGTGTGAGAATGGTATTAGTAGCATCCCTATATTGTGAGAAACAGCGCAAGCCTACTTATGTTTCCAGTCTAATATAAGCTTACAGTATGGTTTAGTCCCAAATTTCTTCTTGGCAGATGTCCTCCAGTGTTCTAGTTAGTATACAAAGTAAATGGCTCTTTCTCCCCACAACTCCTGTAGTGTTAAGGGCTGCGATCACTCTGTGAAGGCCATTCGTGTTTATTATAGGAAGGGCAATTTACATCAGCAAGTATATATTTAAAAACAGTTGCAGGATGTTTGTCTGCACTGGGCTATTAGGAAAAAGAAAACCCCCCAAAACAATAAAATAATTCTAGGTTTCAAGGCAAATAACCTGCAAGAACAGAATCTTTAGGGGGTAATGTTACCAGTATAGCTGTCCTCTCTATCTCTCTGCTTTCTCCGTCTGTCCCCCAACTTTCACACATTGTAACCTATTGTTCAGTTTTTGCCAAATTTGACAGACGTTATGGTCCAAAAAATGCTAAATTGCTGTAAATTTCACAAAAACAGGTGACTGGAAAGCAGAGAAAAATATGTTTATCAGGGCTTCTGTTATGGAATAAGCTAGCAGTGGGAGATTACCCATTGGTAAACAAAATAATTCACGCTTGAATTAATTCCTGAGCTCTAAATATTGTTTTATTGGTTTTGCCACTCTCAAGACTGTTTTTGTCATGACCTTTTTATTATGACCTTTTTTTTTTCTCTTTAAACCAAGACAATATATACTGGTTTCATTTAATTACAGGCACATAGGTAGCAGAAAATAAGGGTTATATTAACTTTACATAACTTGAGCGCTAGTTGTTTAGCAACTTGAGCAAATTATTTATATTTCACTCCTTTCATTGAATTACTAATCCTCTGTCTTCTGGAAATACATTAGGATGATCATCGCCATCTCAACCAGTTCATTGCCCATGCTGCTCTTGACCTAGTAGATGAGAACATGTGGCTTTCTAACAACATGTATCTGAAGACTGTGGACAAGTTTAACGAATGGTTTGTTTCTGCTTTTGTCACAGCTGGACATATCCTTCCCTCTTCTCTTTCCTTATGTTTATATAGGAAAAGCCTTTTGCCGGGAAGGGTTATGTTAGATTAAATGAGTTTGGAACAGATTTCTCTGGCTATTCACCACTGTTATTGTTAGAGAGAGTCACCAGCATCAGAATGAAGCAAGTTGGGAGGTACAGCATGTGTTGGAAATTGGGACCAATTGGAAAGGTGGATTTTGCCTTTTGGAAGAGCTGAAATAGACTAATGAAATGTGGAGCTCATGTGGTGTAGAAGAAAGAGGAATGAGAGGGGACTAATATGAGAGGGTCTGAGCAAGCTTATGAGGTTCTGTTCCCATCCCTTTGATAGTGCTAGAGAGGAGAAGTAGGGATAAACACGCTTGATGTCAATCACACCAATCTTGAAAGTGTTGTGCCAAGGCTTAAACTTATGTGCAGATAGTCCTAGAAGTGTTTGCTGTGAAGCATTTGTTATACATAGGAAGTAACGTTGAATGTCACTTTAACTTCAGGGGTATATGGCAAAGGTGCTGAGAGCATCATCCACATTCAGAATTGTCTAGCTTTAAAAAGAGTAACTTTGCTTTCTAAATTTTACTGCTCCAGTTACTTCTTTTAATGCTTCCTCCTATAGTCACTGCTATTTCATGTACAGCTAAACTTGTTACGTATATGCAGAATTAGGTGTAAATGCTTCTCTCGGGATGTGTTAAAAGTCTCTCGTCTTTCATAGAATCATAGAATGGTTTAGGTTGGAAGGGACCTTAAAGATCATCCAGTTCCAACCCCCCTGCCATGGGCAGGGACACCTCCCACTAGACCAGGTTGCCCAAGGCCACGTCCAGCCTGGCCTTGAACACCTGTAGGGATGGGGCATCCATAGCCTTTCTGGGCAACCTGTTCCAGTGTTTCACCACCCTGACAGTAAAGAATTTATTCCTAATATCTAATCTAAATCTTTGTAAAAGTTAAATTTTCCTTAATTGCTTTACATATGAGATTTATAATGCTTCATGATGTAAAGCAAGAAGACGGAATTAAGAACTTCTTTAATGACGTATATGACTTGTATATAAAGGTAAGAACCCACTCCTTACGGTCTCACTACAGTATTTTTTAGCGTGTTCTGCTGTACATGCTCAGGCATGCCTGTATGAGCATGGGGGTCTGTGTAAGTGGAGAAACACCTATGTAGTCCACATTAGCCAGTTGATAACGTGTGACATAAAGGCTGCATTTTCCATTAGCAGAATAGATTTTCCTAAATTGTTATAAACTGTGTTCTTCTGGAATTTATTTTCCTTTTAGTCCAGTGATTTTGGGGCAGTATTGTGTCGTTAATGGTGATAATGAAGGCAAAGGACTGTTCTGCAGGAGCCTGGTCAAAGCACTTGGCTCTCAGAGCAAGTACCCCGTGTTCTCACAGGCCGGCGGTACTTCCACTAGATGGGGCAGTCGTAGGCACCGACTGGGAGCTTTGCCATCACGGCCTCCTACCGGGACTCGAATGATGCTAATTTCCAAACCAGAAATTTCCACCAGTGTCGTGATGGATTTGTTCCGAGGAGCTGGTACTAAGGGATGGCCGTGCACATATATGGGGAGAATGCAAGGGCCTGGAAAGCAAATGACTGTGAGGAGCTCTGTGCTTAAGTGGCTCTGCAATAGGCTGAAAGCTTATAGCTTGAAATAACATTTGAAATAACATTTTCCGGTGCTGGGCATTGTGCTTATTGATGAGTTTTTCTTCTTTTCTCAGTTTGCAATGAATCCATTTTATGAACTCAATTCTCCTATTCGATCCAGTGCCTTTGAGAGGAAAGTACAGTTCCTTGGGAAGAAACACCTCTTAAGCTGAGTAAATAACTTCCCTGAGTGAGTGCTTTTTCCACGCTTTCCTGTTTATTTGAACTGTACTTCTGGTTAGTTCTCAGCATGTTTGATATTCATCTTTCTGAAGACTGACAAATTGGATGCTGAAGCAGCTCTTTTTTTTTTTTTCCCCCAATACGATAAGAACAGCCAAGCTTCTCTAGTTAAACTGCGTATCTCAAAGTTTCTTTTTATGTGTTATGAAAACTAAGTTTAAAAATGTCAGGGGCTGAAGACAAACTGAGACATGTGGGTGTCCATGCATATGCGAAATGTAAGCCTCTTCTACAGGGTGGGAGGAAATCAGATCTAAACACAAAAGACATCTCCAATCATGTGACTTATGTATGAGTAAAAGGGAATTCTTGACTGTTTGGCCTAAATGGTTAATTTTGTTATAAACTCTTCTATTTATAGTCCTTTGCTAGAGAAGTTACTCTGCAGACTAACCAGACTAACTTTACTCTTCGTGGTATTAAATCAGGTCTATATTAATATTGTAATGTGTAAAATATGTATTATAAGTGCTAAATTAAAAGGAAAAAGGATATATCAGCAAAGCTTTGTCTTCATTATTTCAGGAAGTTTTGAAAGTTTTAAAGCTTTAGTGCAATACATGTTTAGCTGCAGCGTTGCATCAATGAAATGAATTAATAAAGTAGACCACAACAGCTACGTCTGCCCTGACTTTGATTCTAATTAACACATGGAAAAAAATGAAATTAAATTTGCATGTTTAAACCCACTTCTGTCCATTATCTCTGCAAGTGTTAAAACTTTCTTTTTGAAAATATATTTAGATTAAGAACTTTGAAACATGAAACACTGTTGAGATTTCAGAAAGGCATTGTTTGGCCTGTCTGGCTACTATTCCACTGTAAAATGTGGTTCGGGACACTTTTGCAAAACTTACCATCATTCCAAAATAGAAATTTTTAAATGGGTTATTTGGCATATATGTACCTAATATTTTGGTTGGTTTCACAATCTTTTTAGTAGTCTGTTTCCTTTTGCAGCAAATCTGTATAAGCTGTCGGCTTGGACCTTTTTTTTGGTCTGAAAAGTAATTTCCAAAGGAAGTAGCATGCTGTTCTAGGAAGTACATTTTGTATAGTCTGTATAATTAAAGGGACCACACGTATATGTGCTTTAAATGTACAGTCAGACATTATTTCTTTGTAATTTACACTTACTGCTAAACTGTCACTGTAAAATATTCCATGAGAAAAATAATACAATATAAAGGTTGCAATATTTACCTTGAATAAAACCTGAAATGATGCAGTGTGGATGTCTGTTGAGTGTACTTTACATGATTTAGGAGAAAACTAGATGATCACAGTAAGGCTGCCTTTATTGGTGGGGTGGCAAGTGAAGGTGGCAACACTTGTCTTTGCAGTATTACTTGATAAAACCTGCATTGTACAGCATTTTGATAGTGTCATAAAATCTTCTGTAAATCAACTGATTTATTTTTTTTTGCTATATGCATGAAAGCAACAGAAATACTTGAGGTAAAATGTTCTCATTCATAAGAAGCCACTAAGCTGCAGCTGTTTTGCTGTCTTCTGCCTCCTCAGTAGCACAATGATTCGAAAAATACTAACAGTTAAGACTCACTGAGGAGATACTTATAGTAAATAATCGTATGTGTGGCAGTAAGAAAAGTTGTGGCAAAGATGATCAGCACTGAGAATTTCCACCGCTTTTAGAAACTGATGTTTTTGGTAATTGTATGCTTTTCTGCCAGCACACAGCAGGAAGTTATGTAAAATGACAGCATTTTCTCTCTTGCCTGATCGCTGAAGGCAGTTAGCCAAACGGTGCCTGTTCTTATGACCTGCATACGTCTTTCCCCTTCTCTTCTGAATATAGGAATTGTAAATGGAAAATGCAGTCTCATAGGTCCATCTAGGCTTTATGAAAACAGACTCTTACTGGCCACAGGAAAGGGAGACTTATGTCCTGACTCATTATGTGAATAATTACAGAGTTTGCGGTGAGGAACATTGTCTTGTGACAGAATTCTGAAGGACCATGGATAGGTAGTTGTGGTTTCCCTGTGTACAGAGGAATGCTTGTTTAAGCTGTGGTTTGTGACTTTTTACAATAGGCTGAAAGACTGCTACCTGGAACTGACAGGTGAAAGTTGTCTTGTGATCAGCTGTAGTCACAAATCTCCAGATCTGAAAGATGCAGTTCTAGCATGCATCAGACAATGAACGGTTCCTCAACAGACAAGGCTGAAGAGAGACCTCCTTTGCAAGTATAACGTTCATGCCCCATCTCAGAGGCTTAGGAATAAGAATTCAAATGAAGTCTGTTGCAGAATGAGAAAGCAGCAGATAACCTGTACCATGCGATAAAGGCAACAAAAATGTTTATGAGTTGAAAGGATTAGAATTCCCCCAGATAGTACAAAAATCAAGCATAAGGAAATGAGAACATTAGCACAAGCTAAGAACGTGAACCAGCCTTAATAAATCTAGGCTGGAAATGCAACTTTCTGCAAAGTTCTGTTACTGTTCAGGTAACCTGTCATATGACTTAACTTCAAGTAAGATCTGTTCGAAGTACAGAGCAACTGTTAAGGCAAGCAGCCTGGTTCCAGCAGCACTATTGTGCTAAGCATCTGTATGCTCTGCTGTAACATGAGCTGTTAGCTGTGTCCTAGCTAGTTTCTTCCACCCCGACCCAGTTTGCTGCCTCTTCTAATACATGTAGCTTTCACCATTCCCACCGATGTGCCAGGACAGTATTTTTTTGCTCCTCATTTTCAAGGACATGTGGAACTTTGCACACGTATTACATAGTATGCTCTGTCACTCTACAGAACTCTGAATATTGCTAATAGAACCCCATAATAGTTAAAGGTACAATTAGTACTTGAAATAAGTTGGTGAATTGAAACATAAGCCACAAGTGCCTACCTTACCTCATATTGAATGATAGATACTAAGCTTTCACAAAGTACAGGAATGTTGAATTGTTGTTAAGCATTACAGTATTTTTTTTTTGTACCTATCATCTACATCTGCTTGTCATAGGACTTTTGCTTTTTTCATGGACTTGATAGTTGTCTTCTGAGACCAAATCCTGACCTCAAAATAATTCCTATACTGCCTTATTTACTATAGCATGTAACACCACCCCCCCTTTAGCTTTACTAGCCACGTCTGTGATTACTGTACAGTTGTGGTACAGCAGCTCCCAGGGCACAAGTAATACTCTACTGTATTAAGTTTTATTTAACTTTATTAAACCTACTTCTCAGATGGAGGCATGGCAACCATGATGTTACATGGAATAGGGACAGATGGGGAAAAAACAGATGGATGCTTAGGCACAAGGAAGACCACAATGGTTCTCATTCTCAATTGTTTCCTTTTTGCAGTCTTATTTGCATTGTATGTATAGTATTCTAGTCACAGTAACTTCATCTCCTGTTTTGTTTTAACCTTAACCTCTACTAAAATAAACATTAAAGGAAGCTTCAAGTAGTAAGGTAGTAGTTTTACAGCAGTTTCACATCACTTGGCAGCCCCCAACACAAGCAGTCTTCACTTTTAAAGCTTTTTGCTCTCTCAGCTTAAGGTTAAGAGGAATTCACAGATCTTTTCATTCATTGACTAGAAATTAAACAACAGAAGTTGCAGCTCAATATTTAGCTATTAGGTGACTGAAGGTTAAAACAGTTCTGTTGCTGTATAAGGAGAACTGTAAGAATGAATTAGACTTAGGAATATATAAAAGGTAAGAAGATGTCACTTTCAGGCAGGAGCAGCAGATCTGTGGAGTAAAGTTGTCCTGGACAGATTCAAGCAAGAATACAATACATGCAGAAAAGTGTATAAAGAGCGACAAGAAGGGTTTGTTTTGCAAGCTTTACTTCCAAATAATTACACCTGGTACAGAGTGAAGAGATAAGAGAAAACTCTTGCTGTTACTGTACTCTGAAGAAAGGCTTTTCTATTGGAACAAAAAAAATAAAAAAGCTGTACAGAAAGCAGAGTCTGTATATTTACTAGATAACATGGCCTGTCCTATAGGGCTCGGACTTCCTTTTGAAGTCCACAACGTGTGTACGTGCATGCCTCTTAGCAGTCAGATTACACATAGAAGCAATAGTGCGCTATCAAGTTTGCTATTACAAGGACAGTAGGTACTCCGAGAGCCAACACCCAACAACTTCTCAAACAAGCATTTTACCATTTAACTGTAATGGAGAACCTCAAATACACCTGTTGTGGTTTCATCTGCATTGCTGCAGAAAGACTGTCCTATAAATACAGAATTTGCCTCTGTTCATCACCATGTAGTGAGTACAGTAATATTAAAGACAGTCTTAAATGTGTAAGTCCATATCCTAAACCAGCAAATTAAATAAGGATCAAATTCAGCTCAAACACTAGCTGTAGGTATTTACTTGTATTAGGGCTGAAAGCTGTCACAATCCACTGTAAGTCAAGAGCTTCCTGAGTTCTCTACGTATTGCCAATCCTTAGTTTCACAGTGCAGAGATTACTGATAAACACATTCATAGCTCAGGTTAACAGGAACAAAAAGTTTGGAACTTTAAGGCTGTATACTAAAAGTTCTCTTACAAATTTGTCATAACGTGGATCCCTTCAAGTGCTATTAAAGCTGACTGAATAAAGCATATCTTTTTCATCACTAAAAATGGTTATACTTCAGTTACTCAGATTTTTTACCTTATTGATCAGAAACATGCTAGAATGGGACTTAAGGCAAAGACATGTACTAACTTAAAAAGTCATCAGTATTTTGCATTAAACTGCTGGAAAAGTTAGTACAGCATTAGAGTAGTAAGTGAAAGGGAAAATGGACATTAAATATGTAGGAAATTTATTTCCTACTTAAAAACCTACAGAAATTATAGCAACATTAGGGAATTAGAGAACACCTGAACGTAATCTAGATTAATTTATAATAAACACATTTAGAGATGAAGTACCACTCACAGCAAAAGGAATGTAGTGAGACTGAAGTTTAATATCTAGCATTAAGAAACTGACTTCTAGTGAAACAAAAATGGAATGCTGATTTCATAAAAATATACACATATAAAAGTATCTTTGTGCCTGAATTCCAGAATAGTTTCTCCAAAGTAGTGCTTCTAGAACTTTCAAGTTTTAATTATATTCAAAGTATTTATCATTTGAATAAAGTTGGCAAATTACATTCTTATATTAATGTTTTTACTTGACACCTTCCTAAACAGAAAGTATCACTAATTCAATAATGGGTCACTCATGAATGGAAATTTTTCTTTTGCTCCCCCAAGAAAGCAGCAAAGTATTACAATTTTAATATCAGAGTGAAACCCATTTGCTATTTTATCTACTACACCTTCCCCATCCTTTTATAGAGCAA